TTTCGCTTCCCTTCAGGATTCCAAGTTAGGGCTTGCCTCGTGATGCAGTTTGACGATTTGCGTAATGTATGTCCTATCCATTTCCATCGTCTTTTCCTAATTCCTTCTTCAGCTGGAAGTTGGTTTGTTCTCTCCCACAGAAGGCTATTGCTGATGGTATCCGGTCAATGGATGTTGAGTATCTTGCGTAGACAGCTATTTATAAATACTTGTACTTTCTTGATTGTGGTTGTTGTAGTTCTCCAAGTTTCAGCTCCATACAGTAGAACTGCCTTGACGTTGGTATTGAAGATTCTCACTTTGATATTGGTTGAAAGTTGTTTTGAGTTCCATATGTTCTTTAACTGTAGGAATGCTGTCCTTGCTTTGCCAATCCTTGCCTTTACGTCTGCATCCGAACCTCCTTGTTCATCGATGATGCTTCCTAGGTATGTGAAGGACTCTACATTTTCCAGAGTTTCGCCATCAAGAGTGATTGGATTGCTGTTCTACGCCCTGAATCTGAGGACCTTGGTTTTCCCTTTGTGTATACTGAGGCCTACTGATGCAGAGACTGCTGCCACACTGGCTGTCTTTGTCTGCATCTGTTCGTGTGTATGCGATAGGAGGGCTAGGTCATCTTCCAAGTCCAAATCGTCTAATTGATTTCGAGCTGTCCATTGTATTCCGTGTTTTCCTTCAGATGTCGATGTCCTCATAATCCAGTCGACCACCAGAAGAAAGAGGAAGGGAGAGAGTAATCAGCCTTGTCTGACTCCGGTCCTTACTTGGAATGCATCTGTCAGCTGTCCTCCATGCACGACTTTGCACTGTAGTCCGTCGTATGAGTTCCGGATAATGTTGACAATCTTCTCGGAACTCCGTAGTGTCGAAGAAGTTTCCAAAATGTCCTCCTATCTACACTGTCGAATGCTTTTTCATAATCAATGAAGTTGATGTATAGTGATGAGTTCCACTCAACTGATTGTTCAACGATGATCCGTAGTGTTGCAATTTGGTCTGTGCACGACCGATCGTTACGGAATCCAGCTTGTTGATCTTTCATCCGGTTCAGCAACACTCTGTTGAAGACCTTCCCTGGTATTGACAGCAGTGTAATGCCTCTGTAGTTTTCACATTTGCTCAGATCTCCTTTCTTTGGAATCTTGACGAGGTGTCCTTCTTTCCAGTCCATCGGCACTTGTTCCTCCTCCCAAATCTTTTTGAATAGAAGGTAAAGCATGCTTGTGGTTGCTTCGATGTCTGATTTCAGTGCTTCAGCTAATATGTTATCGGGTTCTGCTGCTTTCCCGTTCTTGATTTGTCTGACGGCCATTCTGATTTCTTCCTTCGTTGGTGAGTTGACGTCTATGGGAAGATCTGTGTGTGCTGCTTCGATGTTCGGTGGATTCATTGGAGCCGGCCTATTCAGGAGTTCCTCGAAGTGTTCTACCCATCTGTTCCGCTGTTGTTGAATTTCGGTGATTGTCTTGCCTTCTTTGTTTTTGACCGGCCTCTCTGGTTTACTGTATTTCCCTGCTAGTTTCTTCGTTGTATCGTAAAGCTGTTTCATATTTCCTTCTCTAGGAGCTTTTTCTGCCGTCGTTGCTAGTTCTTCCACGTATTTCTTCTTGTCGGCTCTAATGCTCCTCTTCACTTGCTTGTTTGCTTCTATGTATTCAGCTTGTGCTTGGACTTTCTCTGCTCGTGTTCGGCTGATATTAATTGCTGCCTTCTTGTTCTTCCTTTCTTTGATCTTGTCTAGTGTTTCTGTAGAGATCCATTCCTTATGATGGTATTTCTTTAGACTCAGAACCTCTTGACACGTTAAAGTTAATGCTTCCTTGATGCCTTTTCAGTTGTTCTCCATACTAGTTTCTTCTCCTTTCAGTAGATCTTGTAAGGCTTGGAACCTGTTGTTGAGAGCTATCTTGAATTCATTAAGTTTGTCAGTATCTCGAAGGAAGAATGTATTGAACCTTTGTGTTGCTGTTTGTCCACTTGTCCAGTTCTTTTTTAGCTTCAGTTTTAAATTGGCCACAACTAGGTGGTAATCTGAAGCTACGTCAGCGCCTCTCCTGGTTCTCACATCTTCCATTGTCCTTCGGAATATTTTGTTCATGCAAATATGATCTATTTGGTTCTCTATAGTGTGGTCCGGTGAGATCCATGTAGCCTTGTGTATACGCTTGTGTGGAAATATTGTGCCCCCTATGACCAATTTGTTGAATGCACATAGATTTGCAAATCTTTCTCTCAGTCCATGTCGTTCCATAATATCTTCATATCCAGTGTTGTCTATTCCGACTTTGGCATTTAGATCTCCCATCAGAATAGTTAGGTCCTTTCTTGGGCATTTCTCAATGACTGACTGCAGCCGCTCGTAGAACTGATCTTAAATGTCGTCGTTGCTATCATTGGTGGGTGCATAACATTGGATAATATTCATTGTGATCCTCTCCTCCTTTGTTTCGAATGATGCTTTGATGATTCTGGATCCGTGAGATTTCCATCCTACAAGTGCATTTCGTGCTACTTTGGACAGCATAAGAGCGACTCCCTGAGTGTGTGGAGCATTGTCCTCTTCGTGACCGGAGTACAGCAGCATCTCTCCCGTAGCTAGCCTTTTCTGTCCAGCTTGGGTCCAGTGGGTTTCGCTGATTCCCAGTACTGCTAAGTTGTATCTCCTCATTTCCATTGCTATTTGACTGGTCTTCCCGGTTTCCCACATTGTTCGAACGTTCCATGTACCTATAAAAAATTTGCTCTGGTTGTTAGAAGGGGCATCGACCTCGTGGGTTCCGAAGGAACTCGGCTTTCACCATGAAGCGTCACAATTCTTCTAAATGAAGACCTTCTAACTCCCAGGGCAGAGTTTAAATGGTTTGGGTTATTTTTCCTGGTAAGCGTTTTTTTTAGCGAGTTAGTTTTCTTCGGGATGGGGTCGCTAACTCCATGCCCAACCCTTCTCATTTACCCGGGCTTGGGACCGGCAGTAACCCTATAGGAGCTACAGGCGGAGTTATCAATATATTACCTGAATGTATTAATATTGAAGTACGGTGTAGAACTAAAACGTCCCTGTAAATAGAATTTTTTCTGATTAACATTAATAAGAATATAGGAGCTGATTTCGGTAAAATTTTATGATGAATACTGTACTTCTATTTCAGTTTTTGAAGTGTTTTTGAACCAGTGAACAATAGGTAGAATAAAAATACCTCTTATCGGGTCACTGTTGTTTTCAGAATAGAGGTATAAAAAGGAAGTGAATTGTCAGAATGGGTTTTGTGGAGAGTTTAAGAAATTTCACAGGTTGAAATCATGAGTCAGTTGAAGCTAGACATTAACACCGTTGGATGCCGGCTCAGTGGTCTAGTGGTTAGGTGCTCGCGCACGAAGCCAGTAGGTCCTGGGTTCGAGCCCCGCGTGGTGCGGGATCGTGGATGCGCACTGCTGAGGAGTCCCATACCAGGACGAAACGGCCGTCCAGTGCTTCCAGGTTTTCAATGGTGGTCTAGCTTCAACTGACTCATGATTTCAACCTGTGAAGTGAATTGAATTCACGAAATCATAAAAAATAAATTTTACGACATTTCGCTGTATAAATTACAGAAAAACTATCCAGAGACACCATGGCTACTAGTAATATGCACCGAGAAGAATATACATTATCCAAATGTCGATTCCTGAACTGTTAACATCTAACTGGCAACTACTCAATATTTATCATGAGGATCGATCAAGAAATAAGAAAGGGGAACTTGTTGAAATACATTGTGCTGAGAATTCTATATAGTGAAAATTCCCATTTTGCCATTTGGTTCGTTCCTTCTTTATTGAGAATTCTATATTGTACCAAAAATATAATATTGAATACAGCTTCTAACAATAATGATAATAGAAGTAATTTTTAATATAGTTTCGATGAGAACGATAAGTTTTAGCATTTCGGTAAATCTCAGTTATCGTTGGTTGTCCACTCCATATTGATTTACATTAAAAAGATCATTGAATTCATTGAGAATTTAGAAACATAATCTAAGCTACATTTTAGTCAAACACTCAGATAAGAGACTCATTGATGGGTAGTCATATTCCATGTACCTAAATAAATGGTTACTCTGATTGTCAGAAGGGGCATCAGCCTCGTGACTTCCGAAGGAACTCGGCTTTCACCATGAGACGTCATAACTCTTATAAATGAAGACCTTCTAACTCCCAGGGCAGAGTTTAAATGGTTTGAATAATTTTTTCTGATTAGCGTTTTCTTAGCGAGTTCGTTTTCTACGGGATCGGGTCGCTAACCCCATGCCCAACCCTCCTCCCTTATCCGGGCTTGGGACCAGCAGTAGCCCCTGGAGGAACTCTAGGCGGAGTTGGTTAGTTATATATTAAAATGAGATAATTCAAGATTATGATCACCAAATATAAACCGAATCAAAATAATAAGATTATAAGAATAAATCTTTTTATTTGGTGTTGATTTCTCTAACCTGAGTGACTTAATTGTAAAGTTGTCATTTTCATTCTGGACAATATCATCAATGTCTGCTACATGAAGTAGACACTCAGAGAATATAACATCATCAAAAGTATTCATCTAACCTGGAAATCTTCATCAATTTAAAATCTAAATGCATATGCGATAGTAATGAATATGGATTATTACCGATGTTTTCTTTATATATGTATTTTTTTAAAAATCATTATTATCAGTGAAATACCCTTTCACCAAAAGTAGTTTTATTTGTATATTGTAAATAAGTTTAATACTTTAATAGTTGAGATCATGAGTCAATTAAAGTTAGACCACCATGGAAAACCTGAAAGCACTGAACGTCCGTTTCATCCTACTGTAGGACTCTTCAACAGTGCACATCTATGATCCCACCTCACAAGATTCAAATATTAATAATATTAACAAACTGATTATTATTTCTACTAAACTATAAACCTAAAACATATTAAATACAATAATATTATCATCATTTTTTTCTTCTTGTTTCCCTAAATTTTAGTGAAAGATATAATAGACGACTTAATGGAAAATTTGAATCATCCAATGATGTTTTTCATCAAGCTGCAGCAAAATTTCGTTCAACTGAAGATATTACACGTTATTCACAATCATCATTAACATCAACAGAAAATTTATCAATATATAAACGTAGTTATTCTACGGATAATGTACCATCAGATTATCATAATTTAACAGTTAATAATTCATGGCAATTAAATGATGAACCATTATTTATAGAATATTCATATGAAAAAATTAAAGAGAAATTAAATCAATTAATTGAAATAGCTATTAAAAAACAAATTGATATTCAAACAATACCACAATTTATAGCTATAGCATTAGAAAAAGAATATGGTCGTAATTGGCATGTAATTGTTGGTCCATATAAAGCTGGTTGTGCTGTAACACATTTAATTGGACGATTCTCTAATGCTCAATATGCATCATATCATGTGATTGCATTTCAAACATTGGATTTGTAAATTGTCTACCTTCGTTTGTTCGTTCGTTCGTTCGTTCGTTCGTTCGTTCGTTCGTTCGTTCCTTCGTTCCTTCCTTCCTTCCTTCGTTCGTTCGTTCGTTCGTTCGTTCGTTCGTTCGTTCGTTCGTTCGTTCGTTCGTTCGTTCGTTTGTTCGTTCGTTCGTTCGTTCGTTCCTTCCTTCCTTCGTTCGTTCGTTCGTTCCTTCCTTCCTTCCTTCCTTCCTCCCTTCCTTCCTTCCTTCGCTCCTTCGTTTCTTCGTTCCTTCGTTCCTACTTTCTTTGTTTGTTTCTTTCTTTCATTTGTTATTGTTGCCACCTTTTATATCTTACAATTTAATTGTTCATTATATATTATAGGTAATATAGAATTTGTGTACCTACCACTAGTATGCTTTCTTTATTATTTATATTGCAATATGACAAATTAGCTAATGTTATATATGGATTATATATTCTTTCGAATAACACTAAACTTGAATGTTAGCATAGAGAACTATGGAAAACTGTTGTACAAGTGTTGAAATAAATTTCTTTTTAAAATGATAAAGGTAGTACTTTGTAATTTATAATTTAAGTCATTGATCAATTTCAAGTGTATGTCCTCAGTTTTTAAACTATATTCTAACTATTAATATGATGATTATTCTGACATCCATACTAAAATAGGTGGGGCTGAGTTTTAACCTAGTGACTTAGTAATTGAAAGATGAATGGTTTAAACATGAAGCCATTGTTTAACTATGTGAGGAAGGGGTAAATAAGTTCAGTAATCGAATAAAATGAATGAAATGAATTTCAACTTAGAATATTGTTATGTCTCAATCGCTTGTTACTTATAGTTAAATAAAAAAAAAGAACGAGGAATCACTGTAATTTTCATGACACGAGTAAGTACAACAAAACTGGTCTATCTGAAGATTTATTAAACCTAAAACATGATGACCCTAGTCGAAAATATACTTATATATACACATTGATTGTACACCCATTTTGATCATTAAATTAGGACGAAGTCATATATATGAAAAATACTCAGAGTTATAACAAGTCACATACTGCATGTTATTCTGGGCATAGATCATGTTAATTTAATACAAGAATATTGTATCATAGACAAACACCAAACTCAAATAAATTAATGATCTAACAAATAAAATACCACAATGGGAAACAAAATAAATACCACACTGGGTAATTAACACATTGAATTAAAACGGTAGTAATGTTGAATAAAAATCATAATGAGTAAAATAATGTATCATATCACCTCCCCTTCCTTTTTGATGAAATACGTACGAATAAGTTTTCTGTAGAGTGCCTATCCAAAAGGTTGTTGTTCTTTTACATACTCGCTGGGATCTTGACCGGTTGTATGGTCGTGTTCCTGTTGGGATATTCAGAAAAATATCCCAATAATTATCCTGTTAAGTTTAATGGTGTCCTTGGACTTTAAATGGACATTTCCTATCGGTCAATATTTATTTCACTTGTCAAATATTGTACAAATGTTGTTTTCTATTTTATGGTACAATGTGGTCTGTTTGATTGGTATATGAAAAGTGTATGTCTGAAATATAATGATTCATATCTCAGAGGCTGAGACTTGCGTTCTGGACTGAACTGGCTGGGCTAGACAGGGAAGTGGGACCAATCGAAACTCTAGGCCGTCCGTGCGTGTTTTACGTGTAATTGATCCGATCGACAATTCGCTGCGCATCTAATCTGCAGTCCACAAAACACAACAGTTCCCGCTTCCAGTTTGTTTTTTCAGCTTTCTTTGTAAAAAAAATCGACTTGATCTTTTGACAACTATGCTCTGCTCCTTTGTTTAATGCATATATGATTCTCCCTCCCCCACGAAACAATGTTAGGTCTTCATGTACCCACGTTACAAATAATGTGACTTTGTTGACCTGAGCTGTCTTAACATTACTCACACCTTCATTATAAATGCGTATTGGAGAAAGTCGGTATACATAAAGATTGAAAGATCCTTTTATATGATCTTGACTTGTATGAGTAATATTATACATGGTAATTTTTCTCACATTTCATACGAAAGAAATACGATGTCATTATTCTATTCACAATACGAATAAACATATTTTAGATTTTGACTTATCAGTAACAAAGCATGTAATTATATAGGCTCTCTTTGTCTCCAAAGCATTTGAATGGGATATCTGTACATACTTCATACCCATTAGGATCAGCAGGTGGCTACGTTCTACATAGAGGTATATTGCAATTGAACTGATTTTTAATTAATGAAACAAGGTTTGGCTTTTTGTATGTGACATTCACTTTGTCGGAATAAAGAAGATAAATATCATCAGGTTTGTTGGGTATTTGTAGATGACTATGGCAATGTTGAATCATGAATACTACCTTCAAATCGTGTATATACTCAGAAGGTTATAATTCATGAAATATGTAATACAATAAAAGAAAATTATTGTTAATTGATTACACTTCAGATAGAGTAACGTAGGTTCCTCCTTGGAAGTGCATTCATTTAATCTGTCACAAGTTTTGATACTTTTTGATACTTTTTCTGATATTAATCAACATATGGTCACTAGTGACTGGCTTCAAGAGGTATTTCATGGAGTTCTAGTGAGAAACAGTGACCAGTGGAGTTCAAACGAGTCTGTTGTGAGATAGTAACTCACTGAAGACATTGATTTGTCTCTCATTTTCGTGAATTGGTTGAAGTTAGACATTAACACTGTTGGATGCCGGCCGGCTTAGTTGTTTAGTGGTTAAGCACCCGCTCGTAAGACTGATATGTCCTGGGTTGGAATTTTGCGAGGCGGGATCGTGGATGTACACTACTGAGGATTCCCACAATAGACGAAACGGTTGTCCAGTGCTTCTAGGTTTTCCATGATGGTCTAGCTTCAATTGACTCATGATCTCAACCACTGAAAAGTAACTGTTATAATAAAACTATTGACTAATAAAATTACTGGAATGATTTAGATGAGCACATTTTTTACGGAACTGATTGTCAAATTATAAATGAAGTGATATTCAGTGCCAGAACTATTGAATCAACTGTTTATCTACATAGATTTGAGACTTAAATCTTTTATACACATAAATGAAATACTCGACAAAGATAATATGATTTATCGAATAAAAAAAAACAGGTAAAGGACAAAAATCAACATTACGAACCGTTCAATAAATTGTCTCTTCTGTTCAATTGTATCTATAACAAGATACTTCACATTCTAATTGATCTCGAGTTATGAAAAGCCTTTTAATTGAACGCTAGATTTTATTCCTAGTCTCTTTCAGTAACCCCCAGGCTAAATCTACATAGCGACTTGAATAGGAGAGACAAGGCACGAGATATGGAAGAAACGATGTGCTCTAAAAGTTCCTTTATGTACAGAAAATCTAGGGTTTTTATAGTATTTTAGATGCCCTTGGGTTTCCGGAAAATTTTGAAATGGTACTAAACATAGTATCACTATAAGTAATCATCCAATCAGAAACTCGACACGCGACTTTTCACTTTCTATATGTTCCTGGCAAAACTTTTACTGAACGCTGATTGGATAACTTGCTTCTCAGAGATTTCAGAACCTTTCTTGAGTTTTTTTCGAGGAGTTTCCTGGATCTCCCTAACAGGTTATATAATTTATAGTGTTTCAATGAGCTTGGATATTTAAATTTCAAAGTTTGAGTGTTCACCTTTATGAATTATTACTTATTTACGCCTGTTACTCACAGTGGAGCATAGGCTGCCGATCAGAATTTACCAACCCACGCTGTCATGGGCATTCCTTTCTACTTCTATCCAGTTCTTGTTCATTCTTCTCATATCTATCTCCGTTTCTCGGCGTAATGTGTTCTTTGGTCTTCCTCTTTTCCTTTGGCATTGAGGATTCCATGTAAGGGTTCACCTTGTGACATAGTTGGGTGCCTCCCTCAATGTGTGTCCTATCCACTTCCAGCTTTTCTTCCTCCGCCGGAATCTGGTTTGTTCCCTCTCATAGTAGGTTGTTGGTGATATTGTCTGACCAACGGATCCGAAGTATTTTGCGTAGAGAACTTTTAATAAACACCTATATCCTCTGGATGATGAATTTCGTAGTTCTCCATGTTTCCGCTTCATACAGTATAACTACCTTGACACTTGTATTGAAAATTCTGACTTTGACGTTGGTTGGCAATTGTTTTGAGTTTCAGATATTATTCAGTTGTAAATTTTATGAATTAAAAAATAATAAGGTATTGGAACTTACAAATTTCACAGTATATTTTTTCATGTCATCAACAAAGACGGTTACTAAAAAAAGGTGAAATGTATAGGGAAGTCTAAAAATAGAAAGAATTCTTTAAGCATCTTCATTATATATATCTATAGTATGCATTGATTTGTTTTGAAATCTATGCCAATATAAATAATAACATAAATCTAGGGTCTGTTCTATCAAAGAACATTAGAAATATGACATGAATGTAAAGTATTTACTTTTTTTCTTTAAATCATTTCCAAAGCCTAATTTTCAATGTGACATATTACTTTATTAATAATGATAAATAAAAAGAGACTAATTTGAACTTACTACAATATAACTCGAATTAATCAAGAGTAAAAGTGTATGTTGCATTTTAGATACCTCCGGTCATTGAGAAAACTGTTAGAGTTCCGTATATTCAAATTAAATGCTACTTGGTATTAGGTAGAATGGTATATCTATAACCACAGAAGTGGTGGGAACCTCTGTATCCATAATTATTACATTTAACTTGTTTGAATAATTTTTTCTGGTTAGCATTTTTTTAGCGAGTTAGTTTTCTACGGGATGGGGACGCTAACCCCATGCCCAACTCTACTCCTTTATCCGGGCTTGGGACTGGCAGTAGCCCCCGGGAGGGACTCCAGGAGGAGTTCATTTAACTTGTAAATATTATTTTATCGTAATAATACATTATTAATTACATGTGGAGAAATTTGGACACTTCACTTTATCTGAAGTTTGTGCTGATGATGTCGTTCAGAAGAACGATGAAAGCTCCATAACTAAACCATCCAACTCAGAGAACAAAACGCCATCGAAATCGTCCACCTGAGCTACAAATCTTCTCCACCATCTCATATATTATTTAATTTCAATTTCATAATTTATATAACTTGAAATTTAATGATAAAACAGACAGAATCTCATCTTATGTCTGTTATGATTAGATGTGTAGATTCCTGTTGGTAATCCTCGTAATTAGAATTTCTTATGATATGGAGTCCTATCAAGTCAACTTTATTAAGGCTCAGATAATCCAAGTATACAAAGAAAAAAGACGAAGATTATGTGAAAAATCTTACTGCCGAAATTTCAAATGATAATCTTTACAATTTATACGTATGATAAGAGGCTAGGCTAATCCAGATAACGACTTACGGGAGATAACCTGATCTTAATAGATAGTTCATTTACACGAAATAGACTGTCAATAGTTACATCTCACACGCTATAGGCCTGTAATATGTCTGATTTTCCTGAGCATACTAATAAGCTGATGC